AGGTGCTGGGGCGCCTCAAAGGATGCAATCTCATGGACAGCATTGAGATATGGAGGGACCAGACGTCCCCGTGGAGGGTGGAAGTACGAGAGCGCGCCAATGACGGCATTCTGCACTGCCGCGGTTCACGCCGAGCCCTTGCCCATTGTGAATCAACTGGCGATGGCATCGCCCCTGCGTGGGCGCAGCCGGACCGAGAAAAGCGATTGGTTCCGCCTGCGCGGCATCGTCATCGTTCGCGCCTGGGTCGATTCTTGTGTGCCCAAAGTGGCGGCCCCAAACAGCACGTATAACTGGCGGCGCCTTGCGCGCTCGTGCGGGCTGTTGTTGCCGTCCGCCGAATTTTCGCTGGCACCAAGCCCGAAACGATATGGGATTTATGGGTGTAGCCGGATGCCATAACCCCGTCAATTGGCCTGAACTACTTCTCAATATGCAGTTAACTTCACGCAGCTTGCGCTGCAGACCCGTCGATGTCAGGGCTTTCCCACTGGTGCAGTGAAGCAGCGGACAAAAACAAAAGATGCCAGGGGAATTTCATGGTAGTTGATGACGGAAAGTACAGTAAATATCGAGGCAAAGGAAGCAGAAGCCAGACGAAGACGGTATGGGCCTAACACAAGTGATATTTGTCGAAATGTACCTTCAGTCGTTGTCGGACCATCACGGTGGTATGTAGCCGCCGCTGACGATTCACACCGTTACTTCCGGCCATCCACGTCAAGGACTCGGTGTTGATTGCGCCTGTTCATTTCCTCACTGCGCGGGTGGTGTTGGCGTCTTCAGCCACCAGGCCTCACGTCCTGTCCTTGTAGTGTCTTCGCGTCCCATCTGGAGGTTATTCGTACCGACCGTCCATGTCGAGTTATTGTCAAGCTGCTGTCGGCAGTAAGGACATTCATTTGCCCGGGTGCTGAAAGATAAGATGCAACGCTCGTGGAAGACGTGCCCTGCTAGCATTAGCACTCACCCCGTGAGCCAAATGGTCCTGTAGCTGACCGCAAGGGAGGCACTTCATCTGGCCCTTAGGAAGGGCTTCGAAGCAAATGCTACATTCTCTGTCGAGTCCGAATATCTGTCGCCCGATGTGATTCCCTTCGCGCCAATGTTGGTTGATGTGGCATTTATAATCCTGCCTGGCCCAACGCCTCGCAGCGTTCGCATCGCACGCACGGCAGTACAGCTGGACCGTCAGCACTGTGAGCTCGAGGCGGAGGTGAAAACTTACACAACCGCAGGTACGCAGAATTGGCTGAGGGCCAATAGGGCCGTTGCATGCACTGCAGAAGAAACAACGGGAGCTCGCTTGCACCTCGCCGCTGGTTGTGGAGTCGATGGAGCTCGACAGTTTTGTCGCGTCGTCCAACTCTTTGGTCGGCCAGGGCTGTTTATAGGGGGCGTCATCTCCCGTGAGATCAATGATCTCCGTTGGTCGACGGCTATGGCGGCAGGTCAAGTCGACAAGCACGCGACTGCCAGGCCGAAGTCGCTGTCGCGGAAGTCGAGCCCTGTGACCGTAGACAGCACGACCGAGTCTGTCCATATTGAAGATTCGCCGATGGTGGTAATACAAAGTCTGAAAATGTTATTGCACAGGCTGAGAATTGAAGGTACTGTACGAGTTTCGCTGGCGGGTAGCCAATGCAGATGCATCCACGTGGTGTGGCACGGGTAGCTGCCACTCCCGTAGCTGGAGCTCGATGCTTGGCGGAAATGCTGCTAATCAAAGGCAGACGCGGCTGGAAAAGGACAACGAGCTTTCAGTTACGCGGATATCTACATTAGTCACCCATTTGACAAGATCTGCTGCTGCAGGATGGGGAATTGATGGACAGTGCTCATATGGTAGGACAAAGAAGGAGACGAGCTGTGGCCTGCCGCGGCCGTTTCCCCTGAGAGCCTAACGGGTGGACAAAAGTAGTAGCAATGTTCTTACACCACAAAATATCTGCAATCATACAGTCTGACGGCCCCTGATCCAAGTCATCCCCAACGTTACTGTGACATGCCCCTCCAAGGCACAGTAACCGCCCCGAATTCGAGCCGTCGGCGCTGCGTTTTCTGGCAACCTGGGTTTCTGAGCGGCTTGGCGACACTGAGCAGAGACAATGGGGTTGGCCGTACATACAAGGACGGCCCAAGCCTGGTACCTCGAGTCCATGCATCATCTGACCTGAACCCTATCCTTGCCCCATTTTCACACCGTTTTCTGTGCAGTAACCTAGGTCCGCAACAAGTATAGTATTGCCCGAGCACTCTGACTCGGATCCCTGAGATTGAGGTCGGAGAATGATGGAGTTCGCGAGAGCGGAGGCTTGGCAGCGAAAGTTCGCCTGGAACCGTGAAGTGAGGCTCTCAAGTCAGTGCTTGGCACCTATAATGAATCTGCGCTCTGCGGGACACGCTGGGCCACTTATGACCAAGTGTATGTTAGTGGATGAACTGTTCGGCGCCTGCCGCCTGGACCATTCCACTCATTTGTCACACGCCTTGGGGATGGATTGTTTTGAACCGTTGTTTGCAACACTGACAAAAAGGCAGTCAAGATGCAATTTCACCTCATCAAATTCGTCGCCACAGTCTGATTCCATGATTTCCAACACCAAAAAAATCCCCCTCGATGGACATTTCCTGTTCTGGAGTCTATTTCATCTGCTATCTTCAAGTGGCTGGTCTGGCGACCTGCCATGGACGTGGCCGCGGCTAAGGCCTCATCCCAAGAGCCTGGTGGCGCGGGGTGTCCACAACTGGCTGGCAATTGCCGTAGATGTCTTGAAGCTGCCTAACCTCAAGGCACTCACTGGACGTTGGTCCACATTCGCAGTCGTGCATCATCAGCATGGACTCGAAGTGGCTTCTTGGCAAGAACGCATGGGTCTGAGCAAATGTATTACAGTACTGTATCCGCGGAGTATCATGTATCGTTGCCAAGCGTGCTGTAGCTGAAATGACTATGTTGTGAATGAGTCTGGCTCCAGAATTGCAATACAATAGCGTTCTACGACATGTTACTATAAGCCAGACTCATTCACAACACAGCCATTTCAGCTACAGCCGGCCGTCCGGTTCCGGCCGAAGGAGTCTTCCGATAATGATGCAGATCCTCGAGAGACTGTGCGTCTCATAGGACAGAATTAGGCTTGGCCTCGGAGCACTTGCGGCTGTCTGCGCAACTGTTTCGAGGGGAGCTGCCGGCCATGGCTTCGAGAAGTATGCAACAAGAGCAGATGACCCACCCACTCAAGTTAGGTCTATATGATTCTGTTCTGCCCGTTTCAATGCCTTGGCTATGGACATTACGGGCATTGTTTCTCACTGCGTTTCTACAGCATGGTCCTGCCGTATAAGCCAGAGAGACTGCAAGAAGAGGCTCTCATGAATCTCCTTTATGAGCCAGTCACTGGCAGCATGGTCTCTCATGTGGCTCAGGCCGCACGTGGCTTTGTACCGAACATCGTCCCTACTGATACGGAGAAGCCTACGCCTGATCTTGAGGTTTTCATCAACAGTGTTATTTCGGCATCGAAAGTCGGCACTTTGCCTCTCCTGGTGGCTTTTGTATATATCGCGCGGGCCAAGTCTAAGCTCGGCCCAGCAAACTACGGCATCCCAACTACCCCTCATCGCATCTTCCTGGCATCACTAATAGTGTCGGTCAAATTCCTTGAGGACGGCACGCATAAGAACAAAAAGTGGGTTAAATACGCTCGCATGAATACGAAAAGGGCAACATTGAAGTTCAGTTTGGACGAGGTGAACATAATGGAAAAAGAACTTCTTGGCTACCTGGACTACAACGCCTGGATACGCGGACATGAACTTTTTAGGGGACTGAAGACTTTCCAATGATCAGATACGAGGAAGAAAAAACGGCAAAACGAACAAGACATTGAGGCATTTCTTACACTACGGACAGTGTGACGCTGCGGCTCTCCCACCTGGCCACATTCTCCGATCCGGGACCGAAGTGCCAAGTCTCTGCTGCGCGGGACGCGGGAGTACGTCTTCCATAAGTACTTTAACTGGTCTCAACAACAAAATCGTGTGCAACGCGTATCTACTTGTCTCACATCGCGAACTGTGACGAGGGCGAAGAATGTCGCACCGTGTTACGGCACGACAGGACACGGAGAGGGCATGCCAACATCAAGCCGCTCATTCCCGTGAACTTTAACAGCACCGCTGCATACCAAGAGTGGAATAACTTCAGGCACTTGGGTTCTGCATGCCATGCCTCAGATTCCTACGACCACTCCACCGATAGAGGCATTAATTACCAACCATAGTCGCTTATTACATAGAAGATCCAAGAGCCTTTCGTTGCCCAAATCCAATGGGGACCTTTTGCTCGGTCGTCAGTCAGTCATGCACACGTGCAGTGCGACAGGGCAGAATGGAGCTTGAATGCCATATTTATGCCGGGCCACGTCGATAGCAATCCGATTCACCTCGTCAGTCACTCCGGCATGTCCATATGCATACATGCCGATGCAATCCATGTGACATGCGATTCCTGTTGACTGGAACGTACGGTCGTCGAGCCGTCGGTTGCGACCTGCATTCTGGTGAAATCATTTATCGCCGGCCTGGGTGGCCTTAGACGCAAGACCTGGTCAATGCGGCGAACGGCCCACTCAGCGGGCAAACCGCAGGACGTGCGACGCCATCGGTGGTTGTAGGGGACCGAACAGTACCAACAGTTCTCACTCATATTGGTCAGTGATACGATAGTCTGAGCAGTGCAAGGCTGAAGCCAACATAAAGAAGCCAAATGACTGCAGCTTGTCAAATCGAATTGGAAACGAAACAATACATAGTATACTCTAGCATAGCTAGGCACCCGAAATCGCTTGAAAGGCAAGGCTCGGATCAACAGTGTCCTGACCAGGCGCCGGATACATGTCCACTAAGAGCTTGACGCTATTCCAAACCTCCTGTACCTGGGCTTTCTCACTATAGAGAAGATTAGGTGGCTGTGAGACGTGAAAATGAGCCGAAACTTACTCCTCCTTGCTCTGCAGGAGTTCCTCGACTCTGCTAGCTAGTTAACAAACGGTGCCATGTGTTCATCGCCAGATATTGCATCCTACATTCGCTGCAGGTCTTTCAACCTAACCCTAGTCAGACTCTCCATTTCTCTCTGCTTGCGATCTGTTCACGACTTACTGAGAATCCTGAAATAGCACCATGTCTTCCAATCTGGGAACTGGTCAGCACAGGATCACAGCTCCGGTCTAAAATATTACCTAGAGAGCCTAGCCTGTAAAGTGTTGGACTCGCTACTTTGAAGAGAACTGGACTCGGAGCTACTTGGCAGCCTGAATTGCGTCAGTAATTGTTCTCGGGCACAAGGCCGGCTCAATACCACATATCGCCTGGGGCCTGGCCATTGGCGTAGGTGAATGGGACCTGGCGAGCCATTGGCTGCGTTGCTAAGTCCTTAAGTCCGTTTGAAGGCCCATTATCTGCCGTCCGCGACACCGCGGCACCACTTCCTTGGACCTTCCTAATACCGGTTTGCGACAACCTAGCTGGTGCATTCTGCCCGCGATGCCTCCACTGCGGCGCGCTTCTCTTAGCCAGAAGGGCCTGAATAATCTCAGACTGTGACATGATTGCGAATGGATGTCGTTAGAGTTCCGATGCTACAGGCGAGGGATGTCAATACTTAAGATCGGAATGCTCAACTCCTGTATATTCGATCGTGTTGGTGTCGGGATGAATGAATTGAATTGCCACAAACTGCCTGTGGTGACAGACGTCCAAATGTGCTTCCCACACGAAGTAAGTGGTTCGAGAAGTTGACTTACTCGCGATTGTTGAGCATCAAGATGCCGCTGGCGCGTACTGTACTATTCTAAGAAGACTGCATGTCTTCAAACAAGATGTAGACGTTGGGCGACGTCATCTAATGAATTTTTGGCTCCATTATTCCTTAAGCCATTCAAGGGCGAGCTCGGCGAGCTGGGAGCTGCTGTGCCGCGCCAGTGGCTGATAGCAACCCAAGGCCACTCTGTCTGATTGTGTTGCACTATATTCAATTACTATACCCGAAAGCAAATTCGGCCGAAAGGCAGTTGCCTTCTGTCTTGCCACGGCTATGTACATTCTACTGTACATGCAGTAGAGGACTACTTGTAGGGCAGTGCTACGACAATCGCAAATGGACACTCTGAGGTCCGTGCGCGGTTGGATCGGAAAAGGAAGGCCGGCCAGTATTGGACTAGGACCCAGCGAGGTCGGCTTCGTGACATGCAGAGCCCCGCAAGGAGTATGGCACAAAATGGAAGCGGGCCGGAACTGGTAACGGCTCAAAATGGACACTGGCCAGAATTGGCCATCGGCCCAAACGGGACAACTGGCACAAGTGCCAGAGATTGCTGCTGAACTCATCATGTGCGACTGGTCTGGGTTCAAAATGGACTGCTCTACACGACCTAAACAAAGGGGACAAGTCCGTTTCCTAGATAAGCTTGTCCATCGCTCCCTTGTCTGCCGCTTGCCGCCATGCAGCAGCAATTGGAGAAAGCAAAGCCAACCAGCATGGCTCGAATTCGTGGCCACACAGTCCAAGAGAAGGCCAAGGCTCGCAAGAGCGGTCCGAGTGCTAAGCAAAAGACCCTAGAACTGGGGGAGAAAGCAAATGTCATTGCCTTCATGGGGTATTGGGACCCGACGCATTTGTGTTTCCGTGCCGCGGTTCACCTGCCCGAGGGAGAAACCCTGCCAGATGTGAACCGCTTAGTAAGTCTTACAGTATCTACAGCCCCTACCATCTCCCGGCTAATGTGGACAACAGATGGCGGATACCTTGGATGGAAACACGAAGCAGTCGCGTCGACACAACCATGCGCTCCTTCAGTCTCCCCCACCCGACGATCTCGCAGAAGGGCAAAAAACTTTGAGGCGCAGCGCTAGAAGACGCCACCGTCCACCTCAATCTACATCCAGCGCGCCAGTCGACCCATACAATGTTCCGGACACAAGTTCCGACGAGGCCGAGCCAGCGCCTGGGAGCCCTGCCGGTGCTGAAGGTAGGGCTGGTACCTCTGACAATGCAGGCACCGAGGAGTTGCCCAGCGGAGCAGACGGCATGAGCCGCTCAATTGAGACCACAACTGTTCCAACCGCCCAGTCGATCGAGCACGCTGGCCAAGATCCGAGCCATGGCCAAGCAGCAGCGGAGGCAAATCAAGGAGGCACGCAGGCGACTCAAGCAGCTGCGCAGACGAATCAAGCAGATTCGGATCAAGTAGCTGTGGAGACAAGCCAAGCAGCTGTATACTCGACGGAGGAAGACATGGCCTGGCTTCAAGATCCGTCTTTCGAGTTCGACACGAGTCTCCTCGAAGATTTGTTTGGGGACAATGGTCCGGAGGCGAGGCAGTCTGTCACTCCAGACGAGCCCAACGCTCAGTACAATGGCAACGACATACGTGAAAAGAAAACTGGACAAGTCCGTCCAGTGCCCGGGACGGCTTGGAGACGTCTTGCTCGGGACTCGTTAATGTTGCTCGATAATATTCTGTCTTCACACGCCAGGAAAGCAACGTCGTCGGAATGTTCTCCTGCTCGAGCTCGCCATAGATACCTAGGCAGACGTTATGTGCATTAACACTATGTCTATATTGTGCTGTGCCGTGTTTGCGAGCACATTGCGTGGCTACGGCGGCTGTTAATAACTCAGATTGGTCCAGTAAAGAGAGTTTGCTCGCTTTGCCTGCTAGGCCCCGTAGGCAAGCAGCCTCCCGGTTCCTTGCCTGGCGTCGTGGACAGACCCTTTGCGTGGTCAAAATCCACGACACTGTTCCTGTTGGTGCCTCAGCGGATGCTCCCTCAAGCTACCCTTCCGCGCCTCGGGTTACCGCCCCAGAGACTAAGTAGTGGCACATCGATTCAATGTCATCTATATCATCTTGTCCGTGAGTATCTATCATACGTTGCCCCCGTATTACCTGGTAGGAACGTCCCATGACGGCCATGTCCACGATAACGCTACAGGCTTTAAATGACAGTCTCAGGCAACGGCGAAGGAATGTCTGCCTGGATATTGGAGAACTATAATTGCTATCGTTTCGTGGCATTTGACATCGATGATTGTAAGGGCATGCGCGAAGAATACATGCTACTGTACTTCTCAACACATGCCAACACATCAGAGAGCTTGCGCATGCTGGCCACGTTATTGTACCACCGGTATTATCGGCCTCGCTCCAGCCCCCAACTCCGGAGGACTCGGTCTGTACCTGCGCTGACGCCAGTTTCTGGTGTTAGTTTGCGTTCCATGACGAAGCCAGGCCGCCGCCACCGCCCACCAAGGATATGATTGTTCGGGTAGGACGAGATCCACCTTCTAACCGCAGCCATTGCAAGGAGGCGCATCGTCAGCCTTCTCCAGTATCAGTAAGGATTCAGGGTCTCAGGGAGCAGAACCGAGCGGTGCAGCCATGAAGACGCTCTGAGTAGAGAGGCGGGCTGCCATCAATCAAAACTTGATGAGGACCAGATGACAGAGGCTCGAGGACAGGGGAGAGAAGATCTTTGCAATTGCGGTACGTAAGGTTGCGACGACTGCGGAAATGTGTCGACTCCATGACTCCATACTACATTCAAGGGTGCCGCAACTTCAAATCAGAATCCAAATATCCTGCCTGGAGTTATGCTCCACGGTCCCGCAAAGAACTAAAGCATGGTGTGATGGGAGGCCTCCGCCTAGGTCAGCACCAGTCGGCGTCGAATAACAACCTTCGCCGGGTTAACGCGGCAGGAACGCCACTGACTCCGCGAGGTGTATATAAAGCTGACTTGCCGCCAACTTTCTCTTATGCTAGATACGACAAGCTATAGTACGATACTATACAAACTTACTACCTAAGATTCGTCCTTCCCTTAACATGACCAGAGTCTCTCTCGGGGTGTCTAGACCATTAAGTTTCCTGGCGAAACTCAGCGACTGTGTCATCCGCTTCGAAGGCATCCGATTCAATGATCCTTTCGATGGAAACTTCGAACGCCGCCAATTACAACTTGATATCGCTAAAGTCCGCCTTTGCAGATTGGGCAAGGCCATCGACCGCGATCGGGAGAACGACTCCGTTGACGAGTCGGGCCCCACCTCGCAGGAAGCAAACGCCACTCTCGACGAGCTGCTATGGGCCATCGAAGAATCGCGGAACAAATCAAAGCGACGCGAGACAAGGACCACACCGGGAACGCCCTTAGCCTTGAGAGGCCAGGTGTACAAGGACTTGCATGACTGGCTTGTGAAGATGACTCCTCGAACGCCAATGTCGCATAGCACTACGGGGAACGAAATGTGGGCTCTATACCTGGACTCAGACGCTCAGAGACTTCGCGTTGAGATCACGGACCATCTTGACGACCTCGAGAAGCTGTTCCCTGTGGACAAGATTCTCCTTGAACTCGCACAATCGGCGGTCGACACTCTGGAGAATCAGCCGGACATGTTGAAGCTATTAGCGGCCACCGCTGCCGATACTGACAAAGTCCTCTCTAAGGCTGCCCTGAACAAGCTTGGCAACCTTTCCGGTCGAAATCTTGTGGGAGAGATCAACAGGGATGAGTCGGCAAGTGTACATATCGGAAACACATGGGCCGAGGATGCGAAAAGACATGCGCAAGAAGGACGGTTTGAGAACATGATAAACTCGGCAGGCCTCATCACGGCGAAGGGGGCATCCGTGGTGCAAGTGGGAAATCGGTACGGTGAGCCGAGTATATTTAGGAACTAGTTTATGACGATTCATATGTATACCTTGGCAGTGGCGCCGACACCCTCCAAGCCAGCGACGTCGGAGTAATTCTAATCTCTGCTTGATACTGTACCTGTTCGCGTTAAATTACCTTCCGCGAGGTGCAGATCAAGACTGTGACAAGGCCTTGTTTTGCCCTTTGGAGAATGATTTCTGTTTTGGCCCCTCATACCTAGACCTTGTTTAACCTCATAAGCTCTTTGTACAAATTTTGGTCATATTCTGTCCGTTTGTCCAGATTTTCGACGCCGTCACTAACGCACCCCAGCCAAAAGTGTCCGTTAGTCCCAAGTGCTCGACAGCAGAACTGCGGCATTATTTCGATCGTTCTGATGTACTGTACTGTACAATACTGTATACTGTAGTACTGTTACCGGGCTACAGTAGTTACTTCTCCATAGTGTTGGAACCTGATGACGATGGCTCGACCCTTTCTGTCCGAAATCCCGCAGGTACTTCGTCCAAATGCGGACATATAGCCAATTCTTTCGGAGCGCAAGTTCTGTTTCATGGTGGTACGTAGCTACAATGCCTGAGGCACGGCTCATTCTAGACAATAAGACTCTACTTTAAACCAAATTCACGGTGGCTCGAATGTATCGTAGTGTGTCGCATCCCCAAGTGACATTCAGGCTCACTTGTACATTGCGCCAAAAGGTATCATTCTGTCGTCCTCACGATGGCGGTCATCGAAATGGTTAATCACTGTCACCCCCCCTAACCCGGGGTATAAACAGCGTGAATGTGCGGCTGGCAAACAGACTTTGCATCTACACATCTGCGTTTTCAACTCCGGCGCCGTACGAACATATCTTCGCCAAACCCTGTTCAAACATTACCTGGTTCCTGCCAGCTGCAGCTATGGATGCCGCCACCCTCATAGCCGATGATCTTTGCCGTTCCGCATGGCCTCAGCCTGTCGAGGCCGATCGTGTTGACGGCCAATTCGAACAGAGGTCTGAAAGACAATTTCCGGACACACAGATCGAATCGCTGACGAACGCCTGCGCAGTGTATCGAAAAGAGTGAATTTGACCCCTCTTATGAATCATCTCGAAAAATGCGGCATTCAGGCCAAATTGACAAATGGGCGCGATGCTCCACTGGAAGCACAATTGCACGATGAGGGAGCAGATGTTCCTGCTCTTGTTATTTCGCCCCGCAGCGAGTGGGGAGTTGCGACGACTTTGACGTTGCTCCATGGTTTGGAGCTTTACGGTTGCCCGGGCCTTTCGATATCGGTTAAAAGCGGTGGCCATGGTTACTTCAATGGTGCATCGTGCACAGGAATTATGCTGGACCTGAGTCTCATGGACAAGTCCTCCGTAGAGGAGAATACTTTGACTCTGGAGCCCGGATGCGTTTTGGGTCAAACTATGCACACCTTGGCTGAGCATCGCAAAGCTGTGCCTCACGGAGATTGCTTCGGTGTTGGCGCTGGCGGACACTTCACTACGGCCGGGTGGGATCTCATCTTGAGCCGACGCTACGGGCTGGGCTGTCAGTCACTTATCGGAGGACGCATCGTACTCTGGGATGGGTCAGTTCTCGACGTCAATGACGATAACCACCCGGATTTATTGCATGCCATGCGTGGTGGTGCTGCCGCGGGCGTTGGTGTAGTGGTCAGGCTACACCTGCAATTGATAAATGAGCCGAAACTGGCTACCTGGCGATGCACCCCTCTGTCCCGGGACCAATTCGACATCTGCGTGGAACACGGCGCGTTTTCGAAAGCTTTGGCTCTCCCTCGGGATATCTCTCTGTCTTTCCGCTTCCATATCGGACCAGCCGAGGATGAGACGGTATGTTCACTCAATATCGCCAGTCTTCTGCCAGTCGAGGAGACTATAACACACCTCCGCCAACATATGGGCAATGCGGTTACGTCCTTGCTCTCGGATAGCTTCGGGTGGAGCGAAAAGTCACTTACAGACTTGCGCATGTTGCCTGCCTCGGAGTTCCTGGCCCAAAACCCGAAGATGTTGGCTGAGGTAAGTTCTGCGAGGTTGATTGAGAAGCCTGCGACATACTGGAACGAATCCTACTTGGGAGAGATGCGAAGGTCGTACCTCGCGTCTGCATCGCATTGGGTCAAGCCAAGCTGTGAGCACATGCTCCGTGGACTTTACGATGCTCTGCAGGCAACACACGATCGACCCGCATGCGGTCACATATACGCCATTGCCATTGTCGGAGGGGGACGCATAACTGAACTACAAGAAAAGTGCTCAATGCCACTAGGGAATACCTTGATTCGAGTGGAAGCGCATGGGCAGACGTTGGAAGATCGGATTTGGTGTCAGGTTATCACGCAGAAGATTTCCAACATCATCAAAACTGCGGAAGACAGGGCCCCGGGGAGGCCATATAGGGGAGATATTTGGCTCCCTGAACAGGCTAGCGACCGCAAACTGGACGGTATTCACACTAGTTATGATCGTCGCTTTAGGTTGGAAGGCTGTTAAGTGTTGCAGAACGCCTGACACACGAGCAGCTTCGCTTCCTCCACGGCCTTTTCAGACCCTCCGCAATGGAAACTTGATCCGAAAATGCTGTAATTCCAGTACCGACCCTGCACTTGAAGCACCGGAAACCCCAATGATACCTACTACCGAGCCAAAGCTGATCGCCACGCCACATGCTTTCCCACCGCTTCGGTCCCTTGGACTCCGTTCACGTGCGAGCACCGACGATGTGGTGCTATGTTTCGTCGGACTGGTTGTCTTCGCTACTGCGTATTGCCTCGGGAAGATCCTAACATAATGTTGAACTGTGTTGATACACTTGCAAGCGATTGCACCCAGTTCATTGAGTGGTGGCGTGTCTCACGTTATCATTTTGCGGCTATGTCAAGTTCGACAGACGCCCGGTCTCCTGGCTGGAGGAACAAGATCGTGTGTAGACTTTTCTACCAAGTGAGACTGGCCAACGATTCCAGAGTAAGTGGGCCGAGAACAAACCTATATCCGGCGGACGGGCTTGTCTTCCAATCCAACGGCGCTATAGTGCCATCCGGAGATGGGGTTATTACCGGGCAGGGCATCCATAACACCGGTGATGGTCTCCATCACCGGACTTTGGATCTCACAGGTGCTATCGCTATTTACTCCATAGAGGCCGGAGCATTTGTCCATACCGCTGGTACCCGTATCGCATGTGTCAATGATGTGCTGAAGCAGGTTCTCATCCCAGCCGGACAAAAAATCTCCATGGAGACTGTAGCCAGTGGCATCGCCATTGGAGAGTACAAAGGGCTGCTCGCCCTCGCCAGGCCTCCAGCGGCCCTTGAAAGCTGGTGTGTTCCAATAAATCTCGAAAAGCAGATGCGGGAGATGGAACCAACCTTTCGGACAGTCCCACCTTCCGTTACTGGCGCGGAAGGGATATGCCATGTTGTTCTTGAAGTTGGTTAGGCCTGCTTTTGGATTATAGCAGGAGGGAAAGTGGATGTCGGCGCGAAGTGGAGAGGCATATTCGTCACAATTCGCATCTGGAAACCCGACTCCTTCAGCGCTATTGTGGACATTAGGCATACCAGCGCGTGTGCCATCAGAGGCAACCGACCACGATGGCGGAACGTAGTTCTTACGGGGACAGACCCACTTGACGGGGTTGAGAGGGCCTTTGGACAAGTCGAGGTTGCCAGTAGCGCCACCAGGAGGAGGTGAGCGTGTTTTTGCATCGCCGACAACCATGTTGAGACCCAGCGGAAAGGCTCTGATCTTGTCGTTGGTAGGCTCGAAGAAATAGTATACTTGGGCATAGTAGAGCTCTATGTCCTCATACTTGCCAGTCTGGTTGTCTTTAAAGAAGAGCGACGGGAACCAGTAGTTACTGTTATCCCCCTTGACCATCGCCGTAGAGCAGTTGGATTTTTCGAGATCGGCGCCGGTGACGTTGAAGCCGAACGCACTGCCACCTAGCACATGATGCAAGTGTGGTGAAGGCCCACCCCGATTAACGATGGGGTCTACACGGCCTATAGTGAGCTGCTTATTCGTAAAGCGAAGGACAGCAAAAGTACGTTTGTCTTTTGCGCTGCCGGCAGCAGCGCACCCCAGGGCTGCAGCCAATAACACAAAGCGTTTCATGGCGCAAGGTATGGAGGCTGCTCTCGCGAGGGACGAAATGGCTCAAAGCTTATTATTCCGAGGAGGGAAAAGGCATATATAAAACGCTAGATCTAGGAAGAGACCTATATAGAGAGCGCCTAGGAAAGGACGCGGCCGTATAGGAGTGCAGGGAAGATTTATTGTTGGTCATTAACAGTCTTTCGGCCGCGTGTGCCAGCTAACGAGCCACTTGCAGCCTTAAGTCGACCGAAACATAGCTGGTACAGTAATTGCCGCGGGGTCCAGACCCCACTCCAAGCTTCACAGGGTGCCAGCTTCGCCTTCGCAAAAGAATAAAAGAGGCTCGCTGCAGATGCTTCTCTGAGTGGACAGGTCACAAAGTACAGGTTGCTGTGGCTACAGTACAGTATGGTGGCGAAAGTGACGCTGTAATTCGGGGAGTTGGTTTCGTTAATAATTGGAGTCTCTCGTCTTTGGCAGCTCATGAGACAATTCACTACATGTAGCGTACTGGATAATACCATCCAAGCAATTTCAGGCAGAGGATTGTTATACAGAATTCGCCGAATAGCGGCGAAGTTCGCAGAGGCCCTCGTGTTCACCTTCTACCAAAATATAGTCTGATGTTGGTCAATGTACTGTATGTACCCTGGCCTCGATGGCATCGGAAAAACACCTCAAGTGCAACCGAATCAAGGTCATCTCTCTCCTCTCTCCTTTCGTACACGCCCAAATCCGGTTTTAGAGCTTTTGTGAAAGCATACGTGCCCTTTGCACATCAAAATATGGCAGCGTGAATCCACAGGAATGCTTTTGCCGTGGGCTTCCACTTGTAGCGATTTCCGGGCCCCAGACAATGGCCGTCGTCGTAGCCGGGCCCATAACCATGACGCATGTATCTATGCACCAGATGAAGGTGGCTCTTTTTGACGTGACTTTCGTCTCCATCCTTCTTAGTAACATGTAATTCAAATGCTGGGGTCACACACGGGTCCGTGATGATTTGCGAGCATTCATTCGGGTCGGCGCATACGACTTCAATGTTGTTGTGGTTTTAAAGGGTGGTTTTGCCAGCTTGCTCGCGTGCCGCCAAATGGACGATGCGTTGGGTTGAGGTATTCGAGACTGCGCGCCATGCCAGTAACTGCTAGAAGCTTCCCCCTCCATCGCACACTGCTCGAATCTTCCAGTGGAGACGTATGAACTCATCTCTGGTCTTAAGATATGCCAGGTCGCCGTCAGATGTAAAAAGTGGCGTCGATGCCATCCTTGCCAGCGGGTAATTTCTAGGTCGTTAGACATGTCGGGTGGCGGAAGCTCTGTCAGTGCGAGGGCGACTGCTTTGGGTACTTTTGCCAATAGCCAAATTCTCAAGACCTTTTTGCCTTTGCCCTGTGTCCAGTACGTTTGAGGCTTCGCAAGTTGGAAACGAAAATCGATTATATCTTCTCCGAGGAGAAATATGGCGTGATCCTTCTCTTCATGCCGTCAATCCAGTCAGTATATTCAGGAAGGTCCCTGATCGGCGTGACATATTTTCTTAGAGATGTCGCTCGGTTGAAAGGCGGAGCACAGAAAGGAGCAGCGCTGAATCTGATGCTGACAAGTATGTCAAGATACGTTCCAGGATAGGAGTTCGTTGTAGTCAAGCTGCGGACCAACGTGGGGAGGGTCGACTTTGGGCGACGGCGACGAGCCAAACTCGTCCTGGGGGCCCGGAACGCGGAGAAGCACTACCGAATTGAGCCTTGATGCCAATTTGGCCAAGATGGCCTTCCGTAGCCCCTTGTAAATGGAGGCACGCTCGGAGTCGAGCACCTTATAGGAAAATGCTGAAGAATACCTCTCCATCACGATCCTTGTGCGAAGAGGCAGGCACAAATTTTCGATCAGCGGTTGCGTCTGACTTCCAAATGGCTTAGCAGGCCTCCACGAGCTCCAGTCGACGTACCCATGCTCGTACCCATCCCTTTCTGTCGACGCAATTTCCTTGACCACAGGCTCTCGCACATGTACTGAGGGTTTTGGTTAGATACTTTCCGTCGCACCTACGGATTGGCCAATATTGCCGTGGCAGGTCTCACTCTCTAGGTACTGCCGTTTCGCGAGGCGAAAGGGTCATGAGTCTGCAAATCCAGCGCCGTGTTAGCTGTGACGCCACGGTAACCCCAGTCGTCTTCCTGTTGCCAAGGCATTTGGAACGACTTTTCCCGTTCATAGTCGACTGCGTGTCTCACATCGCAGTAAACTGGCTTGATCATCGCCAGCTCGGTTTCTCCAGAGGTCTTGGTTTGCGGCTCCAGAGTGTCGATGTCGTTATGCAGCGCCATATTGCCCTCCCTATGTTCTCCTCGAGGGTTGAAGACGCTTAGTCGAGAATGGCTCTCCGAGACAGAATGCCAGGCCGGATGGGTTCCCTTTTGCCGTTTTCGAGGGCATTCGCTGCCTAAGGTCGCCGCTCGCCGCAATGGCGCCAATTTGGTTTCAACAACCTCATTGGTCAGACGGCCTGGATTAATCATGCCTTCTTTGAGAGTTGCGCGCTCGCTGTCTTTCTTATGCATGCCCGAAACAATGTCGCTGTGGTCACCGTCCGGTAATTGCTCGGGAAGTAGTGCCTTCAAGGTTGCCCAATGTTGCGTCCATCCTTCCACGTCGCGCGCAACATCCTCACGAAGGCGTTCAATCTCGGCTGTAGAAGATGAATGCACCAACAGTTCACCCTGAGAACAAACCCTTGTCGTAAGGTCGTCTTCCAGCTTTTTGATATGCTGCAGGAGCGTATCCGCGTGGCCCTTCAAGACCTTATTGAGGCTGAGTCGTTGCTTTCTGACGTCTGCATCCACCTTGAGACTGACTGCATGAAAAATGGTCGTTTTCACTTGTTCAGCATGACTACACAAAATAGCCACTTGCCGAATCTTCTTGTTCTTGCCTGAGCGAGCTGTTAGCGTGGGATCGGCATACAGCCGCAACCCGTTCCTGCAACCGTTCTTACTACCTACCTGTGATCTTCTGTGCGGCCAAGTAAGCCTCCTTCATGTGTTCAGCAACTTGATCCTTTGAATTGCCCCTGATCTGTCCGATGGCAGCGCGATACTGGGAGAACGACGTCCTAATTGACATTTTGTATTCCCCAAGGAAATTTTCGATTCTGTAGGCGCAGCCTCGAAACGCCGCCTGGAACTCTTCGGGTAGTTCCTTCGATTCAGATACGGCTCTGGTGTGTTGACTGATTCTCCTCTGAACATGGCTCTCAAATGCCCGTACCTTGTCGTGAGCCTTCTGGCCGAACGCCTCACTCCAAGAGAGAGCAAATGGTCTCCAGAACAACCCGTGCCTAGAACGAATTAGCTTTCACTTTTTAAATACGGGACGAAGCACGGACGTTCTGGACTGCCAACAGTGTATTCTATGCGGTTTGGTGTAGGTGCGGTAGGCACCACCGCGCCGACGGATACACGCGGCATACGTAGACCAGTGCAGCTTATCACCCTGTGTCCCCTTTTGGAACCTATTAACATGACTGACAAAGTCATGCACCAAGCCGTCAAGTTTTTCCACATCATACAGTCGGCCTTTTGACTGAAGGCTGTAGATATATCGATGCAAATTGTCGGACATTCTCGTGATGTCCTAGAGCACGTCAGCGTATGAGGCACAGAAAGACGTGGATCGAACCTTCTCTAACTCAGACCGAGCATTTCGTAGAGTAGACTCGACTTTGGGGCGTGAAGCGCCTGGCAACTGAGCTGCGACATGCCTATCACCTGCAGCCCAGCTCCAGATGGCATCAAATAGCACTTGGCAACGGTGAATAATGGCATCCGCGTGGTCCTCTCGCTTCGGAAGTGATCCCTGTATGATCCAATCTCTGAGGGCGTCGATGCCTGTCGACTGTATGTCTGGAAATCCGCTGTGTGATTTGCCGTTCGCAAGACTGCGATATGCGTCGCTGCTGACAGGGAAGACGGGGAGAACAGTGAAGGGATCTCGACATACTCTGCGGCCCATACCCCGTCGAGTCTCGTCGACATGGTTCTGGAAGGCGATTTTGATGTCGGCGCTCCTGGCCTCTATGCAGGTACGAAGACAGAAGGCCTCGAGCTGCTGGATCTGACCATTCAGTAGCCTCTTTCGTACTTTGGCGTCTCGAATCTGGGCGGCGATGTTGGGCTGCTCGTCCTCGCTGTATTCTGCCCGCCTCCTAAGTTTCCCAATTAGCTCTTTCAGATGTTGTCGTGCTCGCTTTTGTTCTTCCAGGTTGTGCGTTGCTTGGGTAAGCTCCTTCGGAAATTCCTGGAAAGGCCACTCAGATTCCATGAAGTAACTCCATTTCATCTGGTCGATCTTTGTGACGATAATTCCCAAGTTGTTGCCGTCAAGCATCCCGTCGGCCTCCATGTCGACGACCTGATCCTCCTGAATGAGGTCCTTGGCGGTTTTGCTGGTTTTAGCACTGTCACCAGGCGCCACCACCATCAGCCGGTCCAACTTGTTGTAATATTTGCGGGCGACCTGAGATCGAGCGTCCAATGCATCCATCTCCCCCGGGAGATCAACCAGGACGACTCCGTCACGGAGTATATCGGCCTCCACAAATATTTCGACCATCTCAACCAGCGGCCACCGTAGAAGCTCGGTGTTTCCGCGAGCACTGCCGACGTATGGCTTAAGTGCTAGACGGAATTCCAGCTCGGTGTCGCTAGATATTTCAATAATAACACCGTTCTGTGGATGCGAGAGATTGAACACAAGTTCGCACTGGCGACAGTTGCTAGTTATTTCAGCAGCCAGGTTATTGTGTCCAAAGTCGCGTAACTGTTGTTCACACATTCCTGACCAGTCTCGGATAAGGTTCATCTGATCGATGAACTTGGTTCGCTCTCCTCGGGTGACACTGTCCTCACCACCATCAGTGTCGACTCGGTCCTCGAACTCACCGAGTTCTTGGAAAAAGTCCGTAATCTCTTGGTCCATTGTAATTTTTGACTTCAAATGGACGTATGCGGAGAAGCGCTTCTGGCTGATGGACTTCGGATAGGAAAAACAGCAAGCACCATTCTGGCTCGCAGGAGTGATGTCGGCAGCCTTGCTTACGAGGGCATTCAGCAAGCTGGATTTGCCGGCTCCAGTGTCTCCCCCTGTACCGACAAGGTACTGCAGCCCGTCTTTCTCCTGTGTAATGGAATCTGACATTTGTTAGCGCTTGTCGAAACAAAGAGAGTCGCGCACGTGCCAATGAGAATCTTCCACGAAGAGAGATCTGGAGCAGCCGGGCTGTCCTTCGTAATTTCGAGCTTAGTTGCAATGGTCTGGAGTTGTGCAACAGCGCGGTTCGCAGCGTTTTCCTTTACCCGGACCGTACTGAGCTGATCGTGCAGCAGGCTGCGCTTATTTGTTGTAGTATCGTGGCTCTCTGCCTTAAGCGTTGCACACGTTCCTCCCGTAGGCATCTTGGGTGGTGTTGAGACCTGCAATTAACGCGCTCCCTATGTCAGTAATGATTGTGAGAATAAAGGACGAATGTTTACTGTCGCGCCACACCCACCTTGATCCCTTATCCTAAGAATTGCACTTAACTTTCGCAAGTGCTCAGGATGTTAGGCACACAGAAACGTGCGTAACGTGCGTCGAACACGGCCTATTGGTATGTCAGCAAGCGAATGATGGTAATGAAGAGGTGATGTCGCGCAGAGAGAAACGACATCATGGTAAGGCGCAGCCAAAGTATATTCTGGAGACGACGAACGTGGACAATTGGGGACTGTGGACTTATTGCAGTGTGACAAATGCCTCCTAGGTCGTCCCGTTGCAGACCAGCAGACAATTGATGTGGCAGGCTGGATGTGGATGTAAGCTCAAAAAGAGTCTCGCGAGCCAGAAAGCTACACAAAGATATGATGCCTTGTACGTGGCGGTACGGCAAGAGCAATTGTGGACATATCCCAATTAGCCCTCCATCCTGAAATTGTGACGTACATCCAATTGTGTAGCTGGAACACACTCTGGTCGATCTGAAACCAGTGGTGGACAAGTGCTACATACCGTAAAGTTGATTACGCCTTTGGCGCTCGGTGACAAGTCCGGGCGCGCACCCCTGGGCAGCTGCCAGCCGCATGCTGAGTTCTTCGCGTCAATGGCCAATTATCCAGAAGGTACCAATGTCAACCGAATGATCTAAAATGGAGATAACCCTATGCGGCAGTTAAACAATGTGAGCGGAAACAAAGACAGACATCGGGACCGGTAGGCCTGAAGACCCCTGGCGTCGCTACGCGGCCATCCATCCAATGCGTGCACACAGTGCAGTAGTGTCTGCACACATATTGGCCGCATACATACTCGTGCTAGAGCCTAACTGAATCACCCCGATACAATCTACTGTATCAGGCCCCTTTGCCATGCAATCCCGGCCCAAGCTGCGCCTTGCCACGGTAGTCGGCCATTACCAACGCCAACGCCAACAGTCGTAACCTCTTGAGTGATAAACATTCCATAGATCCTGTCAAGTAACTTACTCCTAAGTACAGTAATGTTGTTTGTGGCGCTGCTGTACAGTATAGGGTGCAGTGCATATGACGTATGGACTCTACCAAAGCCCAGGCAATCCTTCCGGCAAGAACTAGACAGTTGCTAAAATGCTCACGTCCGTATATGGGCTGCACTACTACGAGCATGAACTGAACGTCTGGAGTAAATCCGCCGTGTTTCATATAAATCCGATTGGCGCATCAATGGAAATGCTAGTTGGTACCGTTAATCGTGGCGACGACAACAACCATGGTCGAGATTGTTGCGTCTTCTCCATACAAGAGGAACCGGCGGAGTGAGAACGTGTCGAGAAGCTTGCGCAATGTGATGAGAAGATTGAACACAATACGACTGAAGTACGATGTCGATATCTACTTTTGTGCTAGATACGGTCGATATTTCGAATACTCGTCGTCTCCTTCGTTCCGACCATCAAACACTGACATAGTATGCTAACTTCACATGCTGGAGACCTAGAACCAAGCTAACTCATATCAAGGAGAGGAGTTATAGGGCGGTAAAGAAGGGTCCAGAAGACTATGGGACACTTAATAATCTTCCGGTTCCTTCAATCCTACCACGCTGCGCCTCGGTGAGCAGCTCAATGGTGTCGGACGTACAAACGCGGGAAACACAAGGCAGCTATTCTCCACAGAGGAATGATGTGTCCCTGGTACGAGTCAGTGCAGGGGATAATTTATCAGCAGAACAAAGTAAGGCACATCATGGCTGTAAGTCATCGCAGTTAGAGAACCCCGCATCCACAGGGGGTAGCCCGAGATTGAGGTGCAAGGAGAGTGAGTGTTCGGAAGATGCTCAAGACAGCAGATAATTAGGAGTGCCAGATAAAATCTGAAACACACGAACAACTCAAACTAGAAGGGCTACAGATATGGATTACAAACATGTATGGCAAGGTCATGAGGTGCGCGTCCGGCTTGTTGTGCTCTTTGAAATACCCACTAAGAGCCTAGATCGTCGGGGACAGATAACCGTTCCTCGGTATCCGGCATCCGAGTGCCCCGGATGGTTGCGCGATGCGCGCTCTTGGTGGCGAAATGGTAGACAGTGGGAATGTAGAGTCTGTCAGTTTTTGCTGGCGCTGTCGCATAAATTGCCTGTACGCTTCATGTTTGAGCGTCTGACTCCGTGCATTGTTTCAATAAAAGCAAACACTTCAACAAAGCACAGTACACTCGCCGGTGTTTTTGCCCCAAGGACTTCATACTTAGCATTTCCTTCGTGTTGTGTTATCACCTGTTCCGTGAGCGTATCGAGGGGGCTCGTGTGAGTCGTGTCGATGAGCCGTACCTCTGCTGGCGATATAGGGAGAATATACATGCGGCGGAGTTTCAAGCCCACCGCCTCTGCCACCGGGAAGGCGCCCTATGACGCCGGCCGCGTATCGAGACTCCTGGCATTGGAACTCTATTGGACCAGGCCAACCAATCCGTTGATTCCGTGTTTGACACCGGTCACATTACGGTGCCTGCATATTGGCTCTCAAAGACAACACTGGAGAGCACCTACATGTCGTCACACCCAGTGCAATGGCTTTGGGAGCAAGTCAAGAAGGCAGTTAGAACCATGCAGACAGACCAATATAGGGTAACCTCGTTTCAAGGTCATGCAGATCATCTGTCAGCAAGCCACTTGCGCCGTGAATAACCATTCGGAGGACGATATTCCCTCATGGTTCAATAGCCGCGAGCAGCTATTTGTTGAGCCCGAAAGTCTCTATCTTGAAGCCCCTATGTTGACTCCTACGCTGACAAGCCCTGGGTTGCTAACGACCGATTAAGCTTTTCTTAGTAGGCCTAGTGCGAATCCAATTCATTTTCTCAGTGGCACGAATGGTGCTTGGCGATGTCGGCTTCACGCCCCCGACATTTCGCGCAATTTACCCAAAAGGTCCAATAAGTACCTGTGTTCGTGCCAAGCCATGCGAAGCTGATGTGGTGTCGGAGCCTGTATGCAATGGTAGTGAGAAACTTGGTCTACCGCACTCTGCTAGGAGATGCAGTCGACTTTAGCATATGCAGAGGCGCTCCATCCGGACACTGGTCCGCAACGCCGCATGATGAAAGTAAAGTGGTATAGTACTTATAACGAACGCAAAGCGATGCGCGCATGGCTCAGCAGAGCCCTGGCCCCAGAGCTATCCTGTACGAATATACGAGCATGACGGAGATCATTTTCTGCGCTTCCCGGGGGAGCCGAAAAAGCGCGAGCGCAATCTGAATAGTGGCCATCAGCGTTATCTAGTAAGATGAATACCACCGCTATTATTGCTTAAAAAGGTCGCTGGCTTCAACTCGTTTGCTTAAGCTGCCCACTCAATACATGGAATTTTGACGAGATCCCTTATTCGGGGCATCTGTGACCAATGTGAAGATGGGTTTATGCGTGATATTAAGCCAAGGTGGCCTCCAAGTGGTGGGGAAGGCATATTGACGAACTAAACCCGTGTTTGCTACGGTGAGAAACGAGTATAACACTTTAATACTAAACTACTACTGTATACCACATATGCATCGAAGCATCCAAAAGCAAACCAACTCCGAGAGAGCACAACAAAGTTAGGGCCCAAATACACTCGGTGGTAAATGAAGGCCATGTCGAGACGCATGGCCTGCAAAGTGCTCCGAATTTGCAAGAAAGGCATCGCAATTTTGCCAGGGACAAACAAATGGTGTCCGTCGTCTTTTGAGATGCTGGCCCCGAATATGTCTTGCCAGGCTATCCAGGCGCCAAGTTTTAGTACGTTGAGCCACCCCATGGCTGCTTTGCCATTGACAGAATGGACAAGTTGGGCCTGTTCGTTTGAGTAGGTCCAACTCAGCCTCTTTTCTTGCTTTTTGTGCAGAAGTATCTGATGCATAGCCGCTATCGTCCGCTTTGTTGATTCGTTGTGCGCGGTACTCGCGGGCGCGTCGCGTGGCTACTTGTTTGCAGCCCCTTTTGTCTGTCCAACGGCAGGTGCTTTCGCTCAGCTTGCACAGTTGCGTGATCGTAGTGATAAGATTAATTCGCAAAGAATGTAGAGACTCTTCATCTGTTGATTCAGCTGCCAGAGAAAAGAGCTGCGCGACCTCTTTCCGCTCCGATAGGTCGTATTCGATATTTGGGGGTGCGATTATATCGGCTGGCTTTATACCGCAGAGTTGCCGATTGATCTCTTCCACATGAATGTTCGCATGAAATTCTTCAATGGCTTTTTGTAAACGAGAAGCTTTCAGCTTCCTAATCAAGTTCTTTTCCAGTTTGCTGTATTTGTCGAAGCGTTTCCGCATGTCAGTATCCTGGGCTTGTTCTCGGCTTCGGTAGCCCTGGCGCCTCCAATCTAGCCTCGCGCGTTTCTTCTCCGCACGGTAGTCCACAAGTCGTTCATCGTCGTTGATCTCAGCCAATTGATCGACTGTCAATTCTTTAGGGGCCCCTTCGTGGCGGCGCAGTCGCGTAGCCAGACGCACGAAATCATGGTGGGGTACGGAGCCGAAACAAATGGACTGACAATCTACGTCAATAAAGTTCGACATGTAGTATCTCACATATGTGCTTGAGTCGCCTTTGCGATGTCCCATGATTTTATTTCTCTCTTCAGGCGTGAGCGCTTCTGAAATGGATGTTAGTATCGTCGAGGCGACAGGTTGAGTAGTCACGTACCGTTGAGCTTCTTACCGGACCCTCGACGAATATCATACCACTCCAACTGCTTCTCAATGCCGATTAGACGACCCAATCGTATTAGTCGCTGCCGTTCCGAGTCGTAGCCAAGTGGTTTGCTGAGAGAAATTTGCGGGCCATTGGCTGTTTTTTCAATGTCACGGAAAACCGGGCGTTTCAGCCACTCCTGTTTCCACAAAATGCGAATGCGGTCCTGCTCAGGAGGTACCACAAAGCTGTAGACGTCTTGTGGTCCTGTTAAGTCATTGACAAACGCATTGTCGCAAAATGCCAATGCCATAATCGGTATCAACGGGTCATACAAGAGCATGTCGTCCTCTCGAAACGCAAAGCGCTTTGGCTCTGAGCTCCCAGACGCTCGCTTTATGTGCTTTAGATCAACAATGAGAGCAAGGAGCGGTCTGGAGCCCCTCGTGACGGGCGGGAACACCTGAAATTCCAGGTCTTCGTAAAGTAGTCTTCCAATCAACGCCCCGGGGCGAGTGGCAGTGGCGCCAGCCAGTATCAAGTTGGCGGATAGCTGGACGCGGAGGCGCTCGTGCGCAAACTGCTGTTCGTCGCGAATCCATATATGATGTAGAAGAACGGCAATATCTTCAATGTAGATTCCAGCCTTTTCTTTCGGTGATGTATCGAGTCTGTATCTTGGTGTGAGATAGGTGCTTATCCACTGTTTGTTGTTAGCTAGCCTTCGAGGCGTTGTACGACAGAGAACGAACGTTTCTAATGTCGAAAAGCACGCTTTGACTCATCCATGTGGCTGACTTCTGCGCATAGACCATGCTGAGCCTCTTCCAGTAGTCCACGATCGCGGACTCTTTCCGTATTCGTGAATTCTTCAGTCGTGTTTCAAGATACACCTTGAACAATGCAGAATCACAACGGCGGAGGAGATTGACGGGATCCAGATTTCGCCTCTCGCAAAAACTATGGCACGTATTGTCAGTGCAATTCCTTCATGGGTTTTGCTTTTGGGCGTAGTGTACCTGATCCAGTGCTTTTCCTCGTCTTCCACCGCCCGCCGAGTACGTGGACCATGGTTTGACAAAGTTGGACCTTCCGCCAGAAACCTCTCGTATAGTTCCTCCTCTTCCGCAAACAAAGTCAGGGTGTTGTTCCCAGGTTCTTCCTCGGGGTTGCTGTGACTGGTTGTATCAGAGGCTGACGATAGGCATATCCGCTTTCTAGGTCTCGGCGAGTGCGCGTCGGTGGAGGTGCGGGCTCGCTTAGATGTTGTGCTGGATCCGAGAGTGGTCTCGTGATCACTGTTGAGCGATGTCGTGGCAGACGCAATGCTTGAATTCTTGCCTGGTGGTGGTGTCTGAGATGCCATGGCAGGGACGCTTCCCCCAGTTGTTCCGCAGCGACGGATGTTCCGCCGCTGCCGAGCACGCCGTGGGAGATGTCCTAGATGATCCATTCCCCCTGCAGAATTCCCATCTGGCGAATCCAGGCACAGCTAAAATGGGATTTGTATGGGGCCGCGAGCGGACGACGAACCGTTTCCAAGGAAACAAACGTGGACATGGAAGAGAGAAAGAGAGTTAGGAATCAAAGATGGATGTTGGGCACGGATTTAAACGGGACTTGACCGATTTCGGCTTACATATTAGTCTGGTAATTGAATTGTGGCAGTGCACCTCGTCTTCCTTTGCGCCGGAACGAGTCAAGGAGGTGCCACTGCTGGTGCGGTCAACTTCCGCCCTGGCCTGAAGATGCGGCGATCCCAGATACATACCTGTTACACAGCTCATCCTCTAATTGCGACAATGAGTAGCTGTATGCGCGTTATTTGGAAGTTCTCCGTTGAGATAGTGTCTACTGCGTGCGTTTTTTCGGGGTTTTGCGCTATTGTGTACTTGCCATACAGCTCTGAGATCCTCTTGTGGCCTAACATAACAGCAACAACAGGCTCTCTCTCTTTTGGTACTTCAGGGAGTGAGTAGCCGGAAAGCTCGGTACAGATATGCCAAAGAAGCTGTGGTTCAGCAGTGGCTAAAGCCCTCGGGAAGCACGGGGAAACGACGTCTCCTAACACAGCGGCGCGATATTGTGCCGCATCATCTACTGTAGGTATAGCTTCTGTCCGGACTCTCCCTTGGACGACGTCCAACTGCGCGAATCAGGAAAGTTCCCATCTGACCAGATTCCAATGACTTGGTCTGTTTATCAGGAAGTGGACAAGGTAGCGAGAGGCACCGCTCAATGGCGTCCTGATATCGGCATTGAATGTGGCATAATGTTCACATTCCATCCCCAGGGATGGGTGGGGCGAACCATTTCCACTGTCACAACCCGGCTCAGCTTCGCGAGAGGACGAATGTGCGATGGAGAGTCTTCTACATACAGTACAGTACCAGATAACTGCTGTGATTTATCTGTACGCTACGTTAATGTCTGCTTCTAGACGACTACACGGTTCGAACCAGCCCGGCGCGAAATAAGCGGTCTGACTCGTCGCAGTCGAAGACGGACGAAGTACTCGTGATAGTGCGTGCAAATTTTCATTTGGCTTCAGCCCTCTTCTCTAGCGCAGACGCTTTCTACTTCCTCGCTCGCCAGACAACCTGGAAAAGTCACCTCTAACTGTTCGGATAGTTCGTAATGCTCAGTGCTGGTTGAGCTCTCTCTCTTTGCCAACCGCCTCTGAATCTATCCGTACTGTACACTCACTCACTCACTAGTTGATTACGCCCGGTGGCCAGCTTAATTACATGTTCGCTTCCAAATTTGACGAAGCCTCAAAATAGCCCATACCTTCTCCATCTCCATCTCTTTGTCTTTCCTCTTCTCGTACTGTACAGCTATGAGCGAAACCGATTTCCTCCCCCATACTCTCTCTTCTGCAGTATTCTAGGAGCCCGTCCATCACTAACACCGGCAGAAGTAGGTCGAATGTTGCAAAAAAGAAGTGTGTGCAGAAGGAAGGTGGTTCTGCTCACAGCTGTAGTATTGTAAGCCAGACTACAGCGTGACGATTTTCGGGCTCATCCACGTCCGGCCGAGGATGACCACATTTGTCGGGGACTGATGTAGAAGAAGATTTGATTCTTGCCGTACCAGAAAGCGTTGATGCCAGCACACACTACTTCCGGATCGCCCCTAGCGACGAAGTGCTGGTTTGGGCCAGGTTTTGTTGCTCGATCAAAATACTCGTCACTCGCAGCTTGCTGACGCAAAGTTGAATGGATTTCTGTGGCAAGTGCTGAAATCGGCAAATAGTATTCTGAATTGGTGCCTATACGTAGAAATGGAGGGCTGTCATTCGGTCCTCGATCTGCTTTCATTCCATCAGGACTTGCTATTGCTTCAGGCGGCGTAATCGTCAGAATTTACTCGATTTCCGACCCATCTTTTGTGGCGGTCTCATACAGATTGCCCGCTTTGCCATCCCGTGCTTGTTTGTTGCTCTCTCCAGGCTCAAATTTCGCAGCCTTCATCCGTTGCCGTGGGCGCTCCGTCTCGTCTGCTGGCTGGGCATGGGGTCCCCGCGTGCAATAGGCAGCTACATGTGCCACCTCGTCGCAGCGAAAGCATTTACGTACATCTTTGGCAGGGCGAACTCCACTGTTCCATTCCTTAGTTCTGCGGCTGCTGTGCTTTCCGACTGCGGTAGATTGACAGTTCATCCGATCACGGCCCCTCGCCGTCGCCGGAGGCGCTGGCGCTGGCTCTCGGTGATCATGTGTGGGTTCCTGGTTCGAGCTCTCCGCGAGTTCCTCACCACGATTCTTTCCTTCCCGGTTCAGCCTGTCGAGCCTCGACGAGATCGTCTGCAGGGTCTGGATCCATGTAGAATATCCCATGCATTCCAGGTCCAAGTGAACTGCTGCGAGGCGTATCTGTCGATTGAGGGCGCCTTCCAGATAGCTGATCTTGACTTGCTCCGGCCAAGACATTCCGCCCGAGTCCGCTATCTCTCTCTCGAACCTCGGCAAGAATGTTGCAAATGACTCGTTATCTCGTTGCTGAATGGACCGCAATTTTTCCATAGCCCTGGTCCCTGCGTTCGGATCTCCGTAACATTTTTCCAGGTGCCGAAGATACTGCCCCGGATCTGATGTACCATCGCTTCCTCCTGCTTCGACAAACGCGACCGTCATCTGTTGTGGTGCATCGCCCAGTCTGGCGTAAATGTAAGCAAACTGGTCCGCCCTGCTTCCAATGGCGCCTCCGTCGACTCGAAGCTTGTTCTTCATCTCGCAGAGCCAGGTCCGAAACACCAGCCTCGCCCCTTCAAACCGTGGGGGCTCTGGGAGCGTCGGCTTCTTCTTATCTGGCGCAAAGGAAGGCGTGCTGTTTCGCTGGAACTCTGGCCAGACTGTGTCGGCCGATGCGGGCGGCGGGGGTTCCAGTGTGGCTGGTGGCATCGCAATTGGTTGCCCAACTCGGATCTGGGTTTTCATTTCCTCACGGTCTACTTCCCGTTCGGTACGTGGGGACAGTTGTCGTGCTTGGTTGTTCTGCAGCTGCTCTGACAACTGGCTGATCATTTGTATGAGCATCTGGGTCGTCCGCCCTAGTGAGCCATCGTCCTGATTCTTTTCTTCCATTGTTAAAATGCTCGTAAATTGGTTCGTCAACTTGGCTCCTGGTTGTCCCTTCTCGGTACCTTTCGCTAAACTGTGAAAGAGGGTCTTGAAGGGATTTAGTATACTGCTCGCAAGCTTTACCCGCAATCTGTGCGGGGTCCTGGCAGTATCCAATGGTCAATTGCAACATCGCCAGAAGCCTTGTGCTTCCCGCTGGCTCACTGACGTCTTCGCAAGTATCGACGCGCGATTGCTACCCGAGCACGGGAGATTTCTGCAAGCTGTTGGAGATGTGACCCTTGCTCCGTACGGATCCGGCGTTCTGATGTCGGCTTGCACAGGTACTGCGCCGAGCGGGTTAACCTCAATAGACCTCGATCAATTGGTCCTCGCCTAATAAGGCACCTTTCTAACCCGCGTCGCTCGAGGGACTGTCCGGCGTCTAACCAGTTCATACAGACCAATGACGCGCGTGTGAAAAGGGCTTCGAGATAATGCAGCGGTCTCGTTTCAATAGCGAGGGTTGACAACCAGATGAGCGACTGTATTGAGCATCATATCCTTATGTACAAAATGGTGAGGCTGGAGACTAAAGAAAGTCTCAGGATGCTTGACATACAATACTGTATACATAGTAGCTCCCTCTAATTCCCTCTGGATCTAGCCACAGCCTCTTGCGGTGCGTGGTGCACTCCAGCTGCGTCATCTGGTTTCTGACAGGCGGGTCACTGGTTTGAGGCTTCTCCGGGCAGACCAGCGGTAAGGGCATCACGCACATGCCTACGTCCTACAAGTGCTGTCAATAATTGGCCGGTACAAAGGCGGCCGGATGTCAAGGAATCGACATCCAGCTGCAAGGTGGGACAAAGCACCGTCTCCTACAGAAGTCTATGTATGTACAGTGCATGCCAAGTCCCGGAGAAGGAACAACTGCCACAGTCGACAACTGAAGGCTGAATGGCTATGCGAGCTCTACAATAGGCCCAAGCAACACTTTTGGCCAATTTTACTGTAGCAGTCGCTAGACCTAAGTGTACCATCCGGGCTCGCCACTCCGCCGTGCTCTGCACAGCAGATATTTTCCTTCGCCAAGTAACTCGTCAAGTACCCGGCATGTACTCTACTGAAGTGTGTGGTAAGGTGTGGTCAACCTGGCCCGCACAGTCAAGAAGAAGAATTTGGATATCGGACTGCATCCACAGGAGGTGGCAGCATGGCACTCCTTGCCATGCGTAGAGAGCGTCGTCCAACTCGTGTCATGTTGCTCGTGATTTGGATTCGCGTACAGGTGTACAGGACCATGTGCTGTGCGACGCTGCGGGTATGCCGTCCAGTTTTCGACCTGCGGAGTACTCTTTCAAGAGCGTACCATTGTGCTGTTCTACACGTGGCTCTTACCCACCGATCGTTGGCTTCTGGTCGCGCCGTTTGCCTGCATCTACGTTGTCCGCTCCCTGACATGGCCGATTAGTGGCGTGAAACATGTAAGTAGATGTGGCGGCCGGGACCCGCTTAGTCCGATGCCAGACCTGCGGACCACCAAGGGCAGGGACGTGCGCCGACCAATTCTTCTGCTTCGTGTTGGCAGCTACAGTACATGTCGGTTTCTCGACATTGTTACGTACCGGCAGCCAGAACTTGCCATGCAGATCATTGCGAAGTAGGGGGAGACCATTTCGTCCAGTTCTTGCGTCGCGTGTGGCAGCTTCAGTACATGCCAGCCTCGCAACGTGGTTGCATGGAGACGGCAAGTTCTGCCGCGCAGATCATTGCGGAGTGGCGGTGGCCACATGGTCCGCCTGGGCCATCAACATTCAGACCCGGACGAAGGCCGCCATGCAGGGCGCGAAGACGGACAAGATGCCATTAATTCGTCCAATTTCTTCATGTGGACGGCGTCGTCTGGTTCCAGACATGCCGCTCGCTGATGTGGAGCCTGTGCGGAGACGCAGTCGCAGGGGTTTGTGTCGTCTAACTGTCTACTATGGCAATGGCGGACATTGTGCAAAGCTAGACAAGCTGATCACCGTACAGTACAGTAGCACACGAGGTCTTGGCACATTCTTCGGTGGTACGCTACGTCGCAGCTAAAGCCGGTTTCTTGACGTCTTCTGGTGGCGTCTGATGCTGCCGCGTCCATCGCTTCTGCCGTCTAGTTTCTGCATGTTGTTGGCTGCTACATATGTCAATTGAGCTGTGTCGCGAGACGTCGATGAAGCCGATTGCGGCTGTTTAACGAGTGCCGGCTCGCAGCAAGACTGTGACACCGCGGTACCATACATTTTCTGTCCACAAAATAGTCGGTCGATAGGCACACCACGGTACTGTATAGAAGACCGAAGGTCTAGTTCAAGGACGAAGCAAAGTGCGTCGAGTGTGAAGAGGAGGACGATAAAGCGTTCGTGGTCCCAGGTATTCAACGACAAACTTCCACCTCCGAGGTGCGGGATCAGGGCTCACATTATGGCTGGATCTCACTTTGTCTGCCTTGTCTCGTTACTGTTATGTTACTGGTGGCTGTATCGCAATGTGTGGATACTCGTACGTACACCGCTTCGAGATCTTGACGCGGCACTAACGCCGTCCATAGCCATCGCGCCACGATCATGGCGAAAATAGGGGATGTGGTCAGATAAAGATCCTCCCTTCAAACTGGAAGCTGCCTTTCGGCCTCGACAAGTTGGCCAAGACACTCAGCGCAGAAAAACACCGCAAGCTGCCGGCACTATCTCTTGAAGACCACGAACGGTACGGCGATACGTACGGACAATACGCTGGTGGCATGTTTACGATCCTTACGAGAGATTCGCGGAATATCTCGACGTTGTTATCAAAAAAATTCCACAACTTTAGTTATGGACATCTACGAAAACTCTGCTTTGGACAGCTACTTGGTGAGGGTATCTTCACGGAAGACGGAGCGGAATGGAGGGCTTCAAGACGACTACTTGCCTCGGTGCTGAGTAACCCACGTTGCCCATCCCTGCATACTCTGGAGTCTCATTTTCACGATCTCCAACAGAGGCTTATTTCGCATCAGAATGCGTCGGCGATCATAGACTTGCGGCCCCTGCTTTACGACTACACACTTGACACTGCGACTGACCTGTTCTTGGGTAACTCAACCAATATTCTCCGCCTGCCAACCAAGGCGCAAAGCGAAGGCAGTCGCTTCTCCAGAGCGTTTAATGAGGCCGTGGCGTGGCTTGCTACGCGAGAGCGGTTTAAAAATTTCGCATGGCTCGTGACGACACCGGGCTTGCTAAGATCATGCCGTACCGCCCGGAACTCTTTGGAGAATATGATCATTGAAGCCCAATGTTCAGAGAGAGGATCCGAAAAAGCGGACTTTACTGGCTTTCTGGGAAAAGCAACTGATTTAGGCAAAGCCAGAGACGAGCTTATGAATCTTCTTTTCGCCGCTCGCAACTCAAATGCCAGCCTCCTTTGCTGGCTGGTCTATGCCCTGGCCCGAGAGCCTGAAGTCTTCGAGAAGGTCCAACAGGAAATACTCTCAGTTCTTGGAGTGGACAAGGGGGTCTTACCAACAGATTCAGACTTGGCGAGTTTGCAGTACTTGGACGATGTGGTACACGAAACATTGCGTCTATTCCCGGCTGTGCCTATTAATGGTCGACTGTGCAGCGAAACCACTACTCTTCCCGCTGGCGGCGGGGACTCTGGCGAAGAGCCCATCCTAGTGCCGCAGGGTGCTTTAGTCGGATTTTCGACGTATGCCTGCCAACGGTCGAGTAAGTACTATGGAGATGATGCCATGAAGTTCCGACCAGAAAGGTGGCGAGAGATCAGCGTGAAGACTCGGACCCGCGATTTCACGTTTCATCCCTTTATTGGGGGCCCGCGCAAGTGCCTCGGAGGTATGGACTTCCTACTTACGGTTCCAATACAGACATGAATAGCTCACGTCTCGATAGAGCGTTTCGCATTGAAGTTAGCCAAATTCACAATTTGTCGGTTGGTTCAATGCTTCAGCACAATCACGGTCGATGTGCCTGGGCTCCAAGCAGGATCTGATTGGCAGGACCAAATTCGATACCAAATTGGCCTTACAATGGCCCCCGATGAGGGTGTACTGGTTAGATTAAAGCCAAGACGTTGAGACCGAAGGTTGTGCGGTGACGACAGCCAACATGGCCTACGGGAGCCAAAAACTCCCGTTTAAATTTGGACAAGTGCTGTACATATGATGGCGCAATGGTGTTGTTTCTTACGGCTTCTCTAGCGCCGGAACCAAAGCTGGGAGCGGCGGCCGGAGTTCATGGCCCATCAACAGAGCATGGACACAGAGTGCCGCTAGGAAATGCTTGATGGGTGACTGAGCTTATTAACCCTGAATCAGATAGAGGTTATATGCCAATGGCTCACATCGGGCGGCGAAGGGCCACATGGGTCCTTCAAGCTCCCTGAAATGACACAAGTGCTGGCGGTCATCATAGTATCGCACTCCATGCAGAGACCGCATGGCTGGTTTGTCTGCTTCCCACGAGGCCTGCGCGCCTAAGTCGCCCGATTGTTAGTTTGCAAGTCGCTGGACGGGATCATGCTGGGCAAACAACCACTGCCACACAATAACGATAACCGGAGCATCTCTTTCGATACGGCCCACGACATGGAGCAAGTGGAGATCGCACCAACTGCTCGAAGCATTGCAATTACTGTGGTTCTTGTTTCTGAGTGACCGCACACAGCAATCTCATAGCTAGAGTCAAGCCATCGCAACTGAGGGTGTGCAACTTTGTATCTCCACGCCGTACGTACTTAGACTTTGTGCGCTGCCCGGCTACAGCTTGGTTTACCATGTAATCTTCAAACACTGTACGTTACTCGTGATAGGTTTGCATCGCCGTCTGTCAGTTGCGATCGTACTCAGTGGAAGCAGCCAATCGAGTGCGGGTCATGGCCACGTGGCCGAAAGGAGAGCCAGCTTTAGCAGGTCACCGCTCGTCACTGTGAAGACTGGGGCACATCACGCCATCGGTGGGTATCCCGCAGATTGGGCGGCGGTCCGCAGATTGGGTGGTTTACTACCCGTCACACCTTCTCAGCGACCTGTGCTCAAGTCGCCTAGGTGGGCATCCAGCGATTTACCGCGTAATTTGCAGTGCGTGTAATGGATGTCGCACGCTGGGACCTGTTGTACATTCGGCGTTGAAGAGAGCGACTCCTTGGGGCAACACTGAGAGCGGTAGTATGCCGCTGGGGGCTGGCGCGCGTGAAACCATCTACGTTAAGCCTAGTGAGTCCGATAGTGCGATGAGTGTAGTAACGGGCCATGGATGGCGAAAGATGCGTGAACCATCCGCAGGGGGCTATGTTGTGCAGTCCATCGCCCCGTCACTTATACACGGTCAAACCAGTCGATGACTTTTTGATGCCCAATTAGAAAAGGGCGGCGGCGGCGGCTCGACATTTCAGCGACACCTCATCGTCGGGTTTTCGTGGCGAGAATCGCCAGAATGGTATCATCAGTACAGGCGTCTTCGTTTGACAAGCCAACTTGAATTGATACAACTAAGTTTGACCCCATCATGTGTCTTCACAGACCGCAGAAGATTACAGATGCAGGCACTCGCGGCTCGCAGGGCACTTGTTGCAAGAATGAACCTCAGGTATCAAGGCCAAGAGCTGCAAGTCCAGTCACTGATCGTAGCACGATTGTTTCATCTACGAAACAACTCACTCATTCATTCGCACAAACAGCGCAATTGGAGCCAACAACAGCTTGCAGTCAATTATAACAAGCTGGAAGCCAATCCAATCGTAGTTAGAGATCAAGCATTCCTTTGCCTACGGTTTTCCTACCCAAGTGTGTGACAGCACTTCGGCTCCGGGCCCTAGAGCCCACCGTACCACGTTCGCAGACACTGTCACGTGTTAAAGCATCACCAACATCCCTGTCAGTACATGGATCTACGTCGTCCTCTCCTTGTCCATCTTCGTGGTCGTGATCATGCCAGAATTCTCGTGCAACGTCTTTAGTATACCCGCCGCTGGGTGCCCCGGGAAGCTCTGCCCTTCAATGTTCGTACCGTAACCCTTGCTCTTGCATGTGTCGCACGTCACGAGCGTGGTCTGTTCCATGTGCCAGGAGATGATCGCGTTGAAACCCCCCTTCGACATCGTGTTGTGCTTTGTGCATATGCTCCCATGGTTGTCCTCGCACTTCACCAACTTCTCGTCCGGGTAATCCTGATCGCATTTTCTCCAGAGCAGGTGGGGGCAAATGTCCGAGTTGTAGATGCACATCGTGTCCTTGCCGATGATGATGAACCTGCTGAGGAACTCGGACTTCGCTATGTAGACGTGCTCGCGGGCCTGGCTGGTGGCCTGACGTCCACCTGCGAACTCAAGGAGCATATTTTGTTCGCGGTCACGTCTCTGGACTTACATCCGCAAGCTGATTTGGCTCCTCGAAACTGCATGGCTACCATTGGACGCGCCGCAGAATCTTGTTTCGCCTATGATCTGCACATCCAGAGTAAGCCAGAGACGCTGCCACCACGTTACTATGGCGTCGAGAAAATGACATGACCCTGTAGCTGCCAACGCCCAGAAAGAAGTGGCCTGCGCATGCGCTGCTCTGTATTCTGATTACGGCGATCCGCAGGCCGCGTTGCTATCCACGATTTGCGTCCACGAACATATACTCAACATCATGGGGGTTCTTCCACAGTGAGAGCAGCTTGAGTCATGATCTCTGCTGGAGGCATGACCAGGGAATCACTGGCTTCTCATATGCAGTGCTGTAAAGGCAACAATACTATTGTACTGTAACAGAAACAAACAGCATTGAACGACGCACTTACGTATCAGACGCGTCCTTCAGCCGGACTACGGTCGGTTATTGTGCCCTTGGGGTCGCCGATGTCAGACGGTCGCTTCGTTGCCTACTTGTCACACAAAAGCCCGGCGATCAGTCTTGACACCAACGCGAGGTACTTTACAGTAGAGGAAATTTTTCATTTACAAGATCAAGTACTGTACCGTACGTTTGCGTTGGTGCCGGAATTTATTCGTTTGTCCAGTGCTGGCCTGTATGGACAAGGCCCGTAGCATCCGGTATAGGAGTGGTCGCCTCTCAGCTCACGTATTTCTGATACTTGTGGCTTCTGCGTCTGCGCCGGCAATATAGTATCATGTAAATCGTGTCTGCTCCTTCCAAAGTCTTGTTGATTTTGCGATACGCAGATTCGGTGCACTGCAGGTCATGGAATCGTTGGGTATTTGTACAGCCTGTGACGACGCCCTACCTCCCGCCTCCAATCAACGTATGTTTCGACCTAATGTGCGCCATGTGTCGGCGTCCTAACAACTATCCCAGTCGCTTTGAATCAGAGCTCAAAAGGCGCACGGCATCAGATCGATAATGTCTGGTGGCATCAACCCTCAGCTTTGTTGCGAATCGAGGGTCGCGATCGGCCTGTCGAAGCGGGCGAGTCGGATCAGACAAGATCCCGCGAAACGCCATGCTTTCGAGGTATGAAAACGCACAGCATGGGCTGTGCGCCCGCGATAAGAGCCGTGAAAATATCTCATTAGCTCAATTATACATATAATTTATGCGAAATATGGCCAGGCTTGCTTCTGCGATGAGATGAGGCCCTGTGCCAGCCTACATGCGCCGTTGCACAGTGTGGCGCTGGAACCATGCTGTACAGGCAGGAAGGTCCCCGGGGAATGTCTCCCGGACGCTGCCTCCGTAGTATCTGAGGGACATGTCAGTTTCATGCCCGTTGAATGTTCTGCCGTATAGTATTGATATAATCGATCGCCAGCGGCCGACAGCCTCGGGTCTGGGAGGCGTGACCAGCATCAGCGGGCAGTTGTCCGGTTTCGTCCTACGAAAGGCTCTGGCCGCCCGTTGCCGTCGTATTGGCCAACACCATGAATCGTGGCAAGTATACTCAAAGTAAATGGGAAAGCTACGGTGAAATTAGCGTGTTTGCGCCGGAATTTGCCGGAGTTCGGGCTGCGAACGCAATATCAGGTGCCGTCGTAGACTCGTCCTGCCGTCGAAGTACGGCCTCATGGCGCTGTCTAGGCCTTTTTAAACATCCGAAATAAAATTCAAAGACAAAAATCAATCTCCCAGATAGTTGCACCGCACCTATCGCCAGGATGAGCGACGGGCTGCTGGGTGGGAATATGTCCAGCTTTCCGCGCAACGCTCCCCCTCCCGCGCCACGCCCAAGCAACGCTCATTCAAGTCCACGTAATCCCAAGCCCCTCGCGCGACCAGCGACGCCGTCCAGGACTTGCGAGTCTCCTCGCCCCGATCAGTGCCACAACTGCTGCACAAAGCCTTCCAATGCGGCAGGAACCAAAACGTGCGGCAAGTGTGCAAAGGAGGGGCGTCACCACAGCGCTTGCAATGAGGCAATCTACAAGTGAATGTTATGTGAGGGACCTCACGAATCATTCAGCCGAGACTGCAGGAAGCTTTACAGTACCCATCTCCAAATGAGTAACACGCTTCGAGTGATCCAGCATAACGTGGCAAAGCAAGGCCCGATTCTGGAAAGCCTGATGAACGATAGCGAGATTGAAAACGCGACAGTGTTGGCTATTCAGGAACCGCAAACGAGGATAATCAAGGGTCGCCTCCTGGCGACTCCAATGGGGCACAGCAAGTGGACGAAGATGGTGCCTGCGACATACGCTGAAGGGAGACGGGCGATTCGAAGCATGTTGTGGGCCCGAAACGACCTGGACGCGGAGCAACTGCCGACCGAGTCTCCGGACATGACTGCGGCACTGTTGCGACTGCCGGACCGTCTTCTTAATATTCTCTGTCTACGTGCAGGGGGTTGTAGAGAAGGCGCTTCGGGAGTCGTGCGACACGCTGCGGCAGGTCATCACCGAGACCAGGCGAAGCGCAGGTAGGGTCGTGGACGTGGTGATCGCGGGCGACTTTAAACGAGTAGCCGCGACCCCGGGGTCGAACCCGATTGGGGGCACCGTCCAATACCAGACTGACAGGCCCATGGCGGTAGTGTTGGAGGCGATGCATGCCCTCACACTCAAGGAAGACGAGACCATGCCCCCATGCGAAGCGTTGATGGACGCAAGATTTGACACAGCTGCGAGAAATACACACGTATTGGAGGAACCGCGCGAGGCATCGAGACGCAGACGACTGATCTCAGAGCATCTCGAGCGTACGGCTTGAGGAGCTGCGAAGCAATATCATGCAATATCATGACGCGATCCGACAACAGAAGAAGAATCACTGGAATGGAGTCCTGGCAGGCAATGACAACATATGGCAAGCGGCCAAGTACCTCAAATCAGGAGATGCCTCGGTGTTTGGTAAAGTCCCACACCTTCACGAAGGCGATGGCCGTGCCTACTTATATATAGACATGGGCACTGTAAAGTGGACATCAGGCCCAGATGCTAAACTTTAATTTCTTACGGTACTGTACATCTGTACTGTACTGTACAAGATCTTGGATAGGGCTCACACCCAAATGTCAGGGCGGGATACTGCGCCGTGCGATGCCTAGACAGTGTCGTCCGATTCATGTTATGGAGTTCGGATTTGACCCTTGCTCACATGCCCTAGGACTTCGTCGATGAATAGCGAGTAATATCGTCATTCGTTAACACCTCGCTGCCACAAAATATTGGTTCACTCTTACTGCCGTTACGGGATTGATGCTCGGGAAGCCAGACAGACGATGACAATGTCATGCGAGCGAAGAATTATCGGTAACCAGCCGACACCGCAGAGCCACATACGCAAAGTCATTTGCCGGGTCAAACTGCGAACAAGATAACAAGCTTGTGCGGGAGGAGATGTAGAGACAGGAGGCCAAACTCCAACTATAGGCCTTGCCAAACCTTCCTACTTGCCACGACGTTCCTATCCCCGATGTGCTCCTTGTCGAGGATCCTTGCATGGTGCCAGCACGATTCCATGCAATCTAGGTCGTAACTGCCGCCTCGTCTCTGTACTCCGAATTTAGCAGTAGCAAGTTGTCTGGGGTCGAGTGACACACCGTCATGGCTCTGACGCTTAGCTGTCTTGTGTTGCTGCTGCTTCTTCTTCTTCTTGCCCCGTGGGGCGGGGCAATAATTGGAAATAATGATGCACTCTGCCAAACGATGGTCGGCTCCTTCGACGTCCATGGACTGAGAAAAGCCTGGCCATGGTAAGTTGTCCATGTCGTCCGCGCTCATCGGCGCGACTGGAGCTCTCGTGGTGCCATGTCCAGTCTGCATGAGTAACGTTGCCTGGGCGATAGGGTCCGTAACGTCTCGTTCTGGGTCCGGCAGCACCGCCATCGACGCTGACTCCTCCTCCGTGTTCGAAGACCTGATCGGACCGTCGCGCTGCATAGTAGCGACGTGGAAGAAAGCCAAAGGCATTTGACTTGCTGTGTAGGTGCCGCTGTGCAGTGCTGGGCTGTCAGTTCATGTTTTATCAGGCACAGGGAAGCCTACCCTTTGATCAGTGTGCCACGATACATATTGTATGTAGAGAATCCCCGGCTGAGATGGCGGGGAGGGGTGGCATTTAAAAGAAACACTTTCAACGTGGGGACCTCAATGCCGCAGAGGTGACTGCAGTTTACAGGCCAGGCACTGTCAGAGTGGAAGCCCTTGCACTTTATGTAAATTTACATAATATGCAAATAGCATTTAGATCTGTCAAAATTAACGCCCGCGCCTTCATAAGTGGCCTAGGCACATGCAGCCTAAGCCTAGCTATCCACTCTAGCTTGTCTGCATCAAGAGGCAACCTACTCAGCGCATGTCTTACCATCGAGTCTACAAACCCCCTCTGAGGAGGTAATGGAAGTAAACAGCAGGCTTGATCAGCACACAATACTCAACATATTCCTCTCTGTCAGTGGCGATGATGACGCCTGCGATGTTGGCCAGCCAGCAATAGCCCTTGCGTCTTTCACCCATACATGTGTGGCCATATTTTAGCATCTTAGCGTCTACGCGAACTGTTCAGGGACGCTTGAATGTCCCACGCCTCGTCCATAAAACTTAACGGCACCCAACCTGCGCTCCAATTCGTCTGTTCGTCTGTGGGAACTCTTAACCAGCTATGATAATCTTCGACGCAAGGTTTAGCTCATCCTCGGATGAGCTGCGAGTCGTCCGTAAAAGAGTCATGGGCGGGAACCGCCACAAACCGGACCCTTGTGGGAATTTGATGGGCTGGAGAAATCGAATGCTTGCTGCATGATTGCTGGGCGCTCGGACAGGCTTGGGACAACCCGCTTCGGTGAGACGGGCGCACCGCATTTTTGCCCAAGACCGCCTCTCATTCCATGTCCGACGAAGCCTCTTCTTTGCTTTACCATGACTATCAGTCACGCCCTGCCCCGTATCGGACTGCG